TTAAATTACATCCTTTGGTATATATGGTTATGACAATTTTCTTCCACTATTTGATCTGAGGAAGTGGGTCTGGCCCATGAAAGCTCATCACCTATTAAACCATCTTGTTAGTCTTTAAAGTGCTACACAGTCCTGTTTTTTGTTTGGGGGGGAAATAGTCACTGAAAAATTTAACATGGCAAATAATTTTTTTACTTTTAAATTTTGATGCTCATGAATTGAGAAACGATATGCTTGGGTGATGTTGTGAGCAGGCACTGTACTGTCGGTATATATCAGTCAAACAATCTCCATCCAAAATTACAACATTCACGCTTTTCCAGCCTGGCTGAGACTGTAATTACACTGATGTATGTGGTTGTTTGTGAGATAGACAAATATGTACTACTGCATACTGTTTTCTAAAGTCAAATGCTTTGAGCCATAGCTACCCAAGAGTCTGCTTATCTTCTAGTGCTACCATTGCAATAGAGATCAGCTGCAAGGGTTGAGTTAGCAGTCTTGAGTTAGCTTATTTTTAAAACACTGCGGCTGGTAGAGGGCTCTTCACCAAAAATACTTAGGTCTGGAATTCACTTCCCTTCTTGGTGCAATAGAGCTTCGGTTGATTGACTTTCATAACATGATGCAACCTCTTTTTTCTCAGACTTTGGACACAGTTGTTGGGGGGCGGAGGCTACCTTGGTCTTGGAGTCCTGGATTCGATTCTCTGCTCCCCATGGACTTCCTGTGTCACCTCAAGCAAACAGTTTGACTGTGACTCTGTTCCCCATCTATAAAGGGAGAGATACTTTCCTATCAGAGCGGTTGTGAGGATGAACTCAATAAAGATTTTGAGCTAGTCTGATACCATGGTGATGAAGTGAGCCAAAAAGATTCATGAGCTACATGGGACTTCTGATGCACAGGAAGAGTCCAATGATGACCAAGTAGTCCTGTGTTTGTACAGCACCGAGTAAGCTGGGGCCACAATTCCAGCTGAGAATATTACTTATAAATTACTTTGATATATATGGACTAAAAGTGCCTAAAGAATAGGAACTCTTAGTATAAATCCAGATTAAACTACATTTATGACCTAAACAAAAAATAGTAGGTAATAAGGTGAAAATTTTAAATCCTTTACATTTTGAACCCAAACCAGGTTTCCAGATCTGGGACACTACTTTATTCACTTCCTGAGCACATCTGAGGGTGTTGTTGCATATTTCTTGCCTGTGTGTCATCAAAGGTGCAAATGCACTGATATTACCAGTATCACAGGTGTTGTTACAACAATCTCATGCATATTTGTTGAGGTAGCTCAGTGGCAACACCAGTGCAGCTACCTTGTTGTCCAAAAACAAGTAACAAAATGTCAAAGTGTAGACAAGGCCACATTTCTACTTCAGCTCTTGTCAGAGAGATGCTGGTCGGTTAAAACATGCAAAGGTTATATAGTTGCAAGAATGCAAACAAGATGGGAAAGCAAAGAAGTTTACATAGCTTCTGGCTTTGCACACATTTTACACTCATAGAACTTGAAAACACCTTCATTTTTTAAACTGCAAATTTGCAGATCATTAGCCTGTAATGTGCACTAGTGCCTTTGGGTCTTCTGAAACAAAAATGAAAAATGATCTCATTAAGGCTGGCCTAATAGTCGCAGCACATACAGAAGACCTAAGTTTGATTACTGATCTCATTCTCCTTTATCCCTGGGCTGGCAACAATTGGAACTGTGGATACTGTAGTAGTAATACATGTAGATGGGAGTGGGAATTATCTAATACTTTTTATATTGAAATCTGCTGCTAATTAAAGTGTGTGACTGACTCCACAGGGAGTGCTCTGTGATCCCTTTAGCCAGATGGCTTTGATCCAGGCTCTTGGTAGGGACTCACAAGGCCTCTCTAAAGAAACGTAGGCATGGTCCTGAGCTCTTTAAACACATTATACTTAAATTATGTGGAAGGGACTGTACAATTATACAACACTGCCCTTCCTTGCCAAGGCCACCCCAATCTGAATAGGGGGGGTTGTGCAGCTTATTTATTTTTATATTTGTTTTTGCCGCCCCTACACATTCAGTCCTCTGTGAACTGACTATAAGTAGCTTTATTGCAGATTTTGTTAGGGGAAAGCTAGGGGGAAGGTTGGCAGATGGTTTGATATGTTGACATCTTGGGTGGCTTTTTTAAGGGTGGGAGAAAGAGGAGGCAATTCTTTGTTTTATTTGCTTATCCCTTCTGTCCTAAATAAATTTAATTTGAGGTGGTGGGAGGGAGGGGAAGTTGATCCTGCCAGTGCAACCCAGACCAGAGGGCCTTGGAGCTGCAAAGTTCAGCCTGAGGAGATGAAGTTATAGCAGTGCAAGTTATCTACTACCTCAGAGTTAGCTGGCTATGATAGCCAAGTACCAAATGCACCAATTTAGTACTTCTGGATATTCTCCTTTAGTGACTTTGGCTTGCCAATGGAATGTATAGTTGACCTGCCTCTTCTGAAATCTTTGAGGAAAGCAGAGGTGTAATCAGTTTCTACACTTGCCTCAGGATGACTCAACCAGAGCCATCTGTGCCCAAAAGCTTAGAACAGGGTAGTACAATTTTCATCCCTGATGCCAGAGGAACTGAAACCCCAGTCCCATAAACTGAAATGATTAGTTATATTTGCAATGCATTATTTTTTTTCAGTTCAACCTTTACATCTTTCTGGTCTTTGGCTTCTCTCCTCAGACTGCCAATAGTGCTGGTGGTAAGGACAACATGTCTATCAAAAAGAGGGACGCAACCATTGAACTCATTTGACATAAGCTACAGAAATTCCTTTTGATAATGACTGATCTGTCTCTACCACTCTGAGCTGAATTTGAATCGTTTGTTGAATATTCTGCTTTTAAATGTATCTCATTGTGGATTTACTGTATAAATTCCAAAGCACAAACAATTATTGAAAAAAAGGATGCACCAGTCACATATTGGGTCATCTTAAAAACTGACCCATCTGAATGGGAGTTAGGTGACCAGTTGTCCACAGAAAGGATGGGCAACAACTTTACCATTGAATGTATAGAAGGATGTTAGATGATGAAGGGATAGTCAGTCAAGTACCGGTGGCAAAATATTGCAGTACAGATAGTTGAGCCAGCAACTGGAAGTAGTTGGATTTGGTTGCTATCTTTGCCCCACTCATATTTTTAATATAAAAATGTGTTGTTCCAGGATGAACACAAGTGAATAGAATCAGATCAGGTGAATCTAAGCAAATGTAGTGATAAAATACTAAGTTTTCTCATCTCTGAACAGAAGTTAGTTGAAGAAAATTATGAGCATCCATTACTACACTGAACTCCGTTTTCTTTAATGTTAATGAGAAGCAAAGTGGTAGAGCTCTGTAGTTACAGTTATTCTATCTTTCATGAAATTATACTTGACCAAAAAGCAGATAAGAAAGGATTGAGTGAGCAACACCAGAAGCTTCTAAATGGCACCTCAATTTTCTCTTTGAAAATAAACAAATACGTTTTATAGTTCTGGATTTTACCTAACAGAAATGGACTACATGGCTTGAAAGAAACAGTCCCTAGTTATGAGTGACTGAATGTTGTTAGTTTCTCATATGTAAAAACAATCTTTGATTTATATGATAAAAAATTCATAGACAAAAATAGTATGTTCAACATTTTCATATCGCCCATTTGTAATAGCGTTCATATGAGTGTAAGGTGCTCCATAATATCAGCCCAGAGAGTTTGAGATCTTTGTAACAGTAAAAACATAAAGGACCATATCTGATTGGTGAACATCTGTTCAACTCCACTGACTTCAATGGAATAAAACCAATATACATAGGCTGATAATCTGGCTACAGATTTACTGCCCAGGCTGCTGTCTAAGTGAAATTAGGTATTTGGGCTTATATTTCTTGACATAGTCATGCAGACGAGAAGAAGTTTTGCACATTTCTACTGAAAACTCAGTTGCTTGAGAGACACTTTATAAGAACTTGCTAATATTTTCTCTTTAGAAACAAAATATTTTCTAAGTTTATCAAACTGAGATCAGTTGGTAAAAGAAATATACTTGTATTTTTGTGAAATATATAAATACAGAGGGTTAGAAACATGCAAAAAGGTGTACAGAGAGACTTAAAAAAAAGTGTTAGTTCAAATAGCATGGACAAAATTCAGTCAAAAGGTGGGATGAAACATATAAAAAGTCCATTTCAAGAAAACAAAAACCCTTGTCTTTAAATATTGTTAATTCTTTTGCATAAAAATGTAGAACTTAACAACATCCTTTCTTTTAAAAGAATTAAAAATATATGTAAACAACAAGCAAGAAGACAAAACACATCAAAAATGGAATAAAAAAAATCTCCAAAAGACAAGAAGTTAAAAAAAGAGGGGAGAAAAAGATTTTCAGGGATCCTTGTCATGCAAATCAGTTTGGCGGCAAAAAAATACCTTCATCTTCAGCACCGTCATTATCACCTAAATCATCTGTCTGTTTCTTTGTTAGGGGACCTAGGATTGAGAATGGAGAAAATGGAGGGAAAAAAAAGACAATTCAAGAATATACAAGACTGAGGAAAAATAGTCAATATTAAATTCCCAAGGATGTTTCAAGAAAAACATTTTGGGGGAGGTTCTTAGTTAAAAAATACAACTAACACAGTTTTGTTCTGTTTTTTAAAATTTATACCAAAATCTCTCCTGTAGGATATGACTATTGGAAACATTGAGCATGAGAAGCAAATAGTGCCTGATACTTTACATTAAAAAATATAAGAGTTAAAGGAAATGTTGACTAAAAGCATACCCACCACAAACAAATAACCAGGAACAATGTTTATCTCCTTCATTTTTAAATTTGAACTGGTGGTGAGAAAAACAAACTAAAACCAAATTTGATTTTATATTTCATGAACTAATATTGCTGATAAATTTCTTGACACCTGGCAAAAATAAATTTTTCTGTAGAAAGTAAAACAAAATTTCTGAGATCAAGCATTTTAACTCCCGCTTATAAAAAGGACAAGCATGGGTTTGGCTTTTTTTTAAATTCATTTATCCCATTTTAAATACAGATGTGGACTGAAAATTTCCTGCAACCTTTGACAACCTGCTAATATATTCATTTAAAAATATGAAAGTCCCAAAGAGGGCTTTAGAAATAACAGGTGAAATCTTTGTCCTACTTAAGCCAATGGGGGCTATATTTTCCATTGACTTCTGTGGGACTAGGATATCACACAATCTATATAAGCAACATTTAAAAGAGTCTCCGCATAGGCAGGGCATCTAGCATCTTACAATCAAAACCAAGAATAATGGAATTAAATTTTTATAATTCTGTTCCACATTCCATGCTAACACAAGTACCATTAACATGAAAGGAGATTCATCATTCTTTGCAGCAGAAAAAAATGCCCTTCTCTCTTAGCAAGTAATAAAAACAGAGCAGAAGAAAAGTCAAGGGCTGTAATGAAAATATTACCATATATCATGTATTCTACACACTTATGCACAAGCAGACAACAGTTGGAACTCAGTTTTTCTTTCTCTTTTTCAGAGCTATCCAATCTCTATGACATTTTGTAATTTGCATGCAAAAAAAAGCAATCAGTACAAACACAGGAATCAAGTTAAAAATGCAGCCACGCGCAGAGTTGAAAACAAGAACTTTCTCATGCATAAAACAGACAAAAACAAGAACAAAGATGAAAGGTGTATGTTGATATCTACAGTACATGTAGGCAAGAGGCACACATTAACTTTAAGCACACTGAATGATGGAGTATTAAAACATTTGTATTTTTAAAAGTTCCATTTATTTCTCTTATGTTGTAGAATATTTGTAAATCATCATTAAGTCTGAAATCTGAGCAAAGTACACTATATTTCTAAATATTTCACTTAAAAAATCTGAAAGTGTTGTTTATATTGCACCAGATGCAAGTGTTTGAGAAACAAATAACCCATGATGCACCATGGAATTCTACTTGTGAATTTAGAAACCAGACCATATAGTTGAAAACCACAGTTGAATACCTTAATTACTGCATCAGTAAGGGGAATAGTTTCAAGCTCATTCTAAATAAAGAACTATGGAATTGTACATCATAAACTGAACAAGGGATTTTTACAATTGCACCTGCAAGCAATCATTCTGTTTAATTCGGAAGCTTTGTGAATGCAACAGCTTCTGCTAATGGAAATCCTCAATATAATCACTACAAAACGTGATATCTGCATAATGTGACCCTATCTAAATGCAGGTAGCACCCTAATGATTTGCTGCCATTATTCTCATATCATAACTGCTATACTCTCCAAAAAGGACAAAACCGCTAATGATAGCAAGAGAACTAGAAAAATTATTCACATAAAAGTATATTTTCAGTGTAGCATATGGGGAAGAATTAACAATTACCAATTCTAAGAGATATGGAGTAACAGAAACCAGAGATGGCCTGTTACAGTTAAAAATATGTATTTTGTTTAAGGGTTTCTTGACAACTTTTACATTAAAACGAGTGTCCCACTGGCAAACCTAGAGATATCTGGGAAGACAAATGGCTCATTTAATTCTATTAATAATTAGTAAAGGGATTGTTCTCTCTCACAGACATTTAATTGCAAATAAAAGGATGATCAGTGCCTTATTATAAGTGATGTCCCTCATAGAGAATCTTGTGTTTCATGTCTGTCTAAAATCAATATAATCCCATATCTGAAACAGCAGTTATAGAAAGAATCAAACACTGCTATATAAAGGTACCATCCTATGCTGCAAAATGATGCACAGTAGAAGTGAAACACATCCCTAACAAATGAGCTTCGCTTCTATTTTTCATCAAGTTGTCTCTTACTTTGAAATTCAGTTAGTCACTTTGATAGTCAGCTTACTATGGGGCCACAAACAGTAGATCCAGGTCCTAGTAACAGTGGGAAATATACCATTAATGGAATCTAATCATCTTGAACATATTTCAGGCTGGCACAGTTTAACATGGTTTAACATCAAGTATGATCCAAGAAGCTCAGATTTTCATTTATTCTAAAATTAACAGTTGAGGCCCATTGTTGACTGGGCAAAGTCTTTTTGCATAGATTAAAATTATAGAAAAGTTAAAGAAATTAAATATATGTAATATAATTTTATATTAATATGCTTGCAAAAGGGAAGTAAAAGAACAGTTTCAAATTTGTAAGATTTGAACTTCAAACATTATTCATTTTATTGAATAATTACCATACATAGTAAATTTGAATCAGAAATTTGTAAAGCTTCCATTACTCTTTCTGTAACTAATTTGAATTATTTTGTAATTTGTAACAATAAACATTTTCTTTGCACTAAAATGACAGTTGAATAGGCAACTTGATTGTAATTTTGTTAGCAAATATTTTTATGAACTCTAATCATAATAGTCATTAGTTTTTCAGCATATTCCAGTGTAAATAAGTAATACATTCAGCTAATTTAAGTGGCAGGATTGTTTATGCAAAATTTGGTATCTGTAGGTAATCCTGAAGTATGACTTTATTTTGCACAAACAAAACCACAAACAAACTCGATCTTCAAAATGCATAGTAGATAAGGCTCCACAAACTTCTCCTGGTGGGGAGAATTCATTTCTGATGATGGAAGGTAGACATGCTATTGCCCTCTGTCCCCTGGACATTCTTCCTAGATAGATAGTAGGTGTAATTTCTAGTATGACCTTGACCAGTCCTGAAAAATTGATTGGCTGCACCATCCACTTTGGCAATCCACTTCAAAGCAACAAAAAAATGCCTACCTCTTTGGATATACTTTTTGCTACTGGAGATCTACTTCTGAGGTGATTGATGTGGTGAAAACCTGAATCATGGTATAACAGTGTTTCAAAGGCCTCTGTGACTATCAGTACATACCTACTTGTCAGATGTATTGTGAGGCATAATGTTTGTAAATACTCTGGTCCTTGGATGAAAGGTTTGTTTAAGTTCTGTTCCTCATGTGACTGTCTGAACCATTAATTCCAAAAGAAAGGCAGTGCAACTGTGATATTTTAAAGAAACAATGGCAATTTTTTGTTTGGATATTCATCTTAGGTACCTATAGCACACATACTACCTGGCCCAGAACCATAGTACCTGAGGTTAGACAATTGGAAACCACTAAAGCAATGATGGAGTTTGCAGACTTTGTGTTTTTTGCTTCAGCAGTGCTTCTTATTCCAATATAGTAAATAATGCCAACTCTTTCCTTATTCTCAGGAATGACAGCCTCCACTGATTAATAGTGTTGCTGGGTCTGCCTAAGAGGTTATGTTAATAAGACAAGGGCTGAGGCCTGTAATCCTTACACAGGAAAAACTCCCACTGAAGTAAATGTGAGTTCTCCTCAAGCAGAGAGAAAATAAATCCTCATGGAAAAAGCCTGAAGAATGTAACAGACAAGAATATCTGTTCACTAAAAAAAATTAAACCAGCTCTGAAATTGTATGGCAGGGACATAATTCTCAGTTAGATTCAAATAAATATTTATAGAAAGTTTGTGTATTAAGCTATATTTTGTCTGGAATAATTTCTGCAGCCATTTAGTCTTTATTAGAGTCTATAGGGCTTTTCAATTGGGGAAGTATTGGTTTTGATTTTATATTTTGTGGAGGTGTCAAAAGCCAATTAAATAGAATTAACTAAATGGTCATGAGACAAAGAAGACAGAGTACCATAAAATAAAGTCTGCTAACTTTTCAGAGTTACCAGTCTACTAAATTTTATATATACGTGACTTTATATCCATTTTTTTCTTTCTGATGTACCACTTGGCCTGTTAGTATCCTTGATAAATGATCACTATTTCCTTATTTTTTCATTCATCCCACCTAACACTGGCACATCTGGCAAGAAAAATAATCCCTTTATTATGTTTATAAACTAGTCTTCAAAACAAAGGAGCAGCTCATTGGTCTGTACCACGTTTTAACGATCTCTTCTGCTTTCTTTATGCGATAAATATTGGTACAGTGAGCAAGTATCTTATATTATGGAAAGAGACTGAAACCTCTAAAATGCTAATGCAGGGATGATTTATTTTATCACAAACTCTATAGGGTTTAGTTTCCCATTGTAGCATACACAGATCATTAATATTAATGGCAAAGTAGACCCATGTCAACCGAAAAGAGAGAGAAAGTGACTACTGCATTTTATGTCTCATCAAGACAATGAATAGTTTTATTGCAAAAATATAAGAACACTGTGTGTAAGGAGAACTCCTAATGAACTCTGAACTCATTTAATTCCAGAATAGTAGTGCTGACATTACTGAAAACATAATTCACATTCTTCACTCTGACTAATCAACTGATGCTAAGAAAGGTTGCCATGCTTTTTAACATCTCTATTACTGACCACTCTATGCTTACAGTGTAGTCTCCTTTTTTCAAAAGAATAAAAATATTAGCATTTTGTGCAGTTAACCGAAGAATAATTATGTACTCAAAAATAAATTCATATCCATCCATATTAAC